TTTTTATTTCTTTTTCATCTTTTTTTAAAAAAAATGTACAAATGCATGTCATTATACACGTTCAGTCGAAAAGAATATAGTGCCATTTAACTAAAAATTTTGAATATTGTTCTCAATAAAATTTTATCATTTTTATACGATAACGTTATGCTGTATATTTTTTTTTTTTTCCAGAAAAAATAGATGTTCCATTAGTAGCCTTCAATGCTCACGGCCCACGTGACTATAGTCCTGATACAAATCAGATATACATTTGGGCATCTGTACGCATTAACGAAGGTGACGCATACGACATTAATACAGGTATCTTCACGGCACCAGTTACCGGACTCTACTATTTCGCCGTTCATACGTGTAACTATGCAGGGGTAGAAAATAAATATGCTATTGTGAAGGAGAAAACTGACATCGCTACGTCCTACCAATATGATAACGCCGTCAATGACTGTCACTCAATGAGCTCTATCACCACGATTACAGCCGGGCAAAGAGTTTGGGTGAGATGTACAACCGGAACTACCAGCAACCAACTGTGGGAAAGTAGTGGTAGAAGCTCCTTCATTGGTGCTCTAATTCATAAATAATTGTTAGACGATGTGTTATAAGAATCATCGAATCCAACTTTAACCATCTATCTATAATTATTTCATTTTTCTCTCTCTTTTTTTACGTAGTATGAGACCTGATATTTCTATGTGGATGGCTTTGAACTGACTGGATCATATCGAGCCTACAATTTTACTGTGCTTTAGGCATTCAAATCTCTTCCCACGCGGCGGCTAGCAGATAATTTAAGTCTTGCTTTTGTTTTTTGTTTGTTTATTTTTATTCAATATAATACCATAAAGGAATATCTGGAAGAAAATGATCCATCGGAAGCATTAAAAACAGCAAAATTACATGAAAATTGCAGACTCGTTTTGATTGAGTCTGTACATGAGGGATAATGAAAAAGTGCAACATCCCTCAAGTTTGTTTTAAAATTCATATAGAAATATGCCGTCAAAATGGACATATTCTCGGTGTAACGGATATATTTTTCTTAATTATATACTTATAAATGAAATATTGAGAAATATTGATGGAATTAAATACGTATTTTTATTTTCCGTATTTTCATTGTAAAAAATTTACTTTTCACTGCAGTGAAACATATTTTTTGTATTGTCACTGGTGTCTTGCCGGAATACTTTCTTCTAAATTCAGCCAATACACAAAATTAAAAGGGAATTCTTCCTACTCATAAGGTTAAAAAAGACAAAACAGAAAATTCAAGTTTTTCTATTAATACAGGGTTTATTTTCATTGTGGTATGAAAATTATCATATTTCACTCGTGGCTACTGCCACTCGTGAAATATTTATTTTCATACCACTCGATGAAAATGAATCCTGTATTTATGGAAGCAACTTGAATATCCTCTATTTTACCTCTGTCTTTGTCTTAAATAGACCAAACATTTCATGTTAACTTGTTATCCAATTCATTTTTTTTTAAAGAGGAAGCGATACCCTGGCATTTTGTGACTATCTAGAGGCTATATTGACAACATATTGGTAATGATTTCAAACTCTTTTTGTTATTTTAAAATAGGTAAAATGAACAAATACTTTACATATACCATAGAATTTTTTATATTTATAAAATCGATTTTTTGCACAAAAAAATTGTTATTTTGCGACTTTCAAACTGATGTTATAGCAACAAATCTCCCGTACTCAGTAAATTTTAAATAAAAAAACGCTAGAAACGTCGAAAACTAAAGCAAGCGCTTGTTTTAATTGAACTGATTATATGTCATGTTTAGTTACAGAGCCTTGCTTTCTTTAGAAAAGCTGGGTCCGCTGGACGGAATTGTCAAATTCACGTTAGTCCATCTGTTAAGCCACAGCTAACGCTGATACTCTCGACAAAGATGAGTATATTCACACAATGCCCCAATGCTCTCTGAGGAAAGACTGTCATTCTGCACCTTCATAAGTAGCAACTGTTGTAACAATATATTAATTTAAGAACGATAACGGTGTGAAAATTGTGATTGTGAAGTTCAGTGAGTGTTTTGGACTGTTAAATATTTCATTACATTACAATACGTTTTGTATATATATATAAAACGCGTTATATTACACGTTATGTTACACGCAAAGATATTTCAAAATCTCCTTTCAGAAATGTCAGTAAATTAATTAAATATTGTTGCATATAACATAGATTATGTGGATCATGTGAATACATTAAAGGACTCATTTAAGACCTTTTGTGATAAAGTAAATTAATAAGCAGATATATGCATGCACGACTTTAATAATGATGTAACTTGCTTGATGACTCATCGCAATGTTTTGCTGACCACAGAGAATGATAAATTTAATCTCAACAACTAATTTTAGAATGTTACTATTCTTTTAAATAAATGCATAAAATTGGGAAGAATTCTACATTTTTTGTCTTTTTCTGCCCTTTTTGGCAAGGCAAAGTAATCAATTGATTAATATGCCATTGAGAAATTACACCAATTTGTTACTTGTGATGAGATTAAAAATCAAACATTCAAGGCTACGTTGGCAAAACTCAGCCCCCTACACAATCCAGCCACACCAGCAGGGCACCCAGAAGGCATCTAACCAAAAGCAGAAGAAGACACAAAAGGGCCGATACGGGAATAGTAAAAGGTTTGGGAAAAAAATATTGCGGGCCACCTGCGCGCCGAATAAGAAGCACGTTGCGCAAAAACGGGCCACCAAGCCAATGCTAGGGGAATATCTCGGGCAAGAATATGTTCTAAACAAGACACCTTAAACTTTTCATAACTTTCCTCCGTTGAATCTGTACAATATATCGCAATACAGATCATTTTAAAAGATATTAATTTATACTGTATATGTTATGAAATATTTATATAATGATTAATTCGAAAGAGTCAGTAGGCCTGTATGTGCCCCGACCACATTACCCCCTATGTTTTTATCACTTTTTTAGAACTTTTAGCACATGTGATTTTTTTAATACAGGATTGAAACACGTTTCATTTGCAGTTACTCCATCATCCCGTAGAAGAAATAATTACCTCATTTACGATATAAGATATACATGTATGTACATGTATATTCAATTTAATCATGAATTCAATAAAGAAATTAATTAAAAACATTTAAGATTCATATATATAAATACATTGTAAAATGCTAAGTAGGTATACTAAAGAGAATTTAAGGAAAACTAAACAGAACAATATGTAAGATTTTATTATTATCATCAGCATTATTATTATTATTTTGGCCTGCATATTTAACAAAATACTAAAATTGTACACGTTTTATCTTACAACTATTATTCAGCAATAACCAAAATAACAACGTTTTATTTCGTGTCACAAATTATGCACATGTGATATGAAATTAGTCAAAGCCTAAAAAAAATGTTCATTTTTCCGTTTTAAAGGTGTCATTCGCTATTTCATGCACCGCTTCCGATCGACGATTATTATTAATTCGAAAAGTTGCCATTGGTCCGTTACCCCGCCTATTATCTCCGAGCTACATTGAAAATGGCGCCCACTAAAACTGACACTGAAAATATCATTGATAGGTATAGAATTCTTTATGTGTTTTGAAAGCCCGGACCCGCTTCGTTTTCCCGGCCGTTGACTTCCCCGTATAATTTTCAAAAGCTTATCTTAAATTGTATGCAAAGGTTGACCTTCAGACAACAGCTTTTTTATTCTACTCTATGAATGAGTGCGCCAGTGAAGGAACTCATTGACGGGTTCCATATCTGAGTAGTACTGGCGCTTCCACTGATGCACTTAACCCACACCATCTGTCCAGTTGTTACTTTAGTGATGGCACTAATTGAACCACATTCGTTTATGGCATTGTCATATTTGTACGACTGGGCCATATAGGTTCCGTCAAGGACGATAGCATAGGTAATCACCTGACCACTGTAGTTACAAATATGTACGGCAAAATGGTAAAGTCCTGATACAGGTGCCTTGAATTTCCCTACCACGTTATCATACGCATTCCCTTCGTTTAACCGGATGTGTTGCCATATCATTATTTGATTTGTCTCCGGAGTGGTGTCAAGTACCTGGTACGCATTAAAGGCAATTATCGGCAAATCAACTTTACCTGGAAATATATACATTTAAAAAACATCATCTGCTGAACATTTTTGTTCATGCAAAGGCCCCGTACCATCACAAATAAAACAAACCAATTAAAAATAGCGATAAAAATTATAAAATAGTGTATTTACATGTGTGTTGTTAAAATGAATATATGAAACATTTACAATAACTTCCCAAACTTTACGAATAAACAAATAGCAAAAATTGTATCCACGTATAACTATTTCTGTTTTGCTGAACATCTAACGACTTCCCTTTTTTCCTATGTACATGTGCTCTAATATTTTGTTAATTGTTCTACTATTGGATTTTTAAGCAACCGCATTCCGAAAAAATAAAAATAGAATCCCTAAAGAAAGCACAACTACCGTCCACGCCCCCTAGAACCGACTTAAGCAGAATTCAACATTTAACATGGACTGGTAAAAATTGGAATTTTGAAACATTCACAGATGTGTTCATATGACGGTTATCATGGAACCTCTAATGTGACACGTTTGTGCCATTCCATGAAAAGCGGAATATGGTCCCCAAGTAAAACAGATGCTGTGCCATGAACGAGAAAACAATCGGCGAAACTAAATAAAATGCAATTTTGAAAGGTGATTAGGTTATGGAGCCTGCATATCACAGATGAGCCGTCAAAAAGACACAATTAAAAACATATCCTAATTAAGGGTAATTAAACAGTACACAGGTAGGGAATACTGCGACCACACGACTAGAAACTAGTATTTTTTATGGAAGCCAAAAATACTACTTTGTTTACCTTTCGATAATTTTATGACAAAATAATTTTAGATTCAATAAAACTTTCTGCAGGTTGTAAGCATTTGTAAACATGCTCTAAAACCATTACATGTATTTTATATTTATGAAACTAATGTTTGCACTGTTTAAAGATAAACAAATGTATGCTTCTGATGAAAATGAATTCTAAAATGCTATGCTATATTTCTATTAATATGTTGGGTTTTTGTTGTTATATTTTAATTTAGTAATATTGTAATAATCAACCATATGTCTTTTTTAACTATGATTTGAAAAGTGTTTTGTCCGAGTAAATGTTGTAATTAACGAACATTTCTATATATCTGCAAAAGAAATATATTAGAGATGACCCTTCTTTGCTGTTAACAACATTTCTAAATTCAATTGAAATCACTCACCCTCCAGTAATTCATATTCTGCAGTTTTATTTTCCAAGATATTTGTTTGATCATTTATGAAAATGTTAACTTCTGTCTTAGCTTGTTTCAAGTCGTTTTCCATTCTTTCCATTTTCTTTTCAATATGAATCATCTTTTCAAGAAGCTTGGCATGGTACTCGAATTTGTCGACTTGTTTATCCCCATATGCTAGTGCTGCTACACATAAAAGTCCAAATAAATTCGCACCTAACATAGTCTCTTGTTGATGTTCATAAGTCGATTTATACAATTCAAATAACTTACTTACAATACGAACACATATGCATTATAATAGAAATGTATCTCTTTATTATGATTGGTCAAAATAAATGGTTTTTTATCAACAAAGTAGTTGTCCGCAGATGTCGTTGTTATGTTTAAAAGCCCATTTTGATAATGTTCTGTTCAAAACTTCTAAAGCTAATTAAGTTTCTGAATTAATTATAATCCTTGGTCATGCAGGAAAAATGACAAAGCAGGAAAAATTATTTATGAAGGCACTTGTTTCAATGGATCCACACGTGTTATGTTTTCCTTCTTTCAGTATTACATGCGTGTACATATGACATGTGGTCTAGATTAAATTTAATGCTATCTCGCTAATTGAAACAGGGCAGACTTTTAAAAGAAAACGATAACTATACTGAGTTGCAAAAGAAAGTGTCACTTGGTTACAGGGAAAATTTTTATACTTATTTAAGCAAAAAAATCGGCATGTTTGATATTAAAACTTGCAGAAATGCACTGAATATACGATGGTTCACATTTCATTTTAATTTGACTGTTATCAGAACTGTGGTTACGTGTAGACAGGCGACATTCGAACAATAATTTTGCAGAATTCTACTTTCTATAAATGTGTTTTTGTCTCCTGGATACTTCCATATGACGATCCATGCAGTTTCGAACACTCTTGATCCTAGGCGAGATGGACGCTACCGATACTAATTAACAAGCATGTAATTAGACAAAAAACGCCGATATACCAATACAGCTTTACAGCTTCCTACTCAATCCGTAAATTTTATTTTATGTACTTTATTATGTAAATGTGTGGATTATAAATAAAATTTTGTTTAAAATTAAAAAAAGCGTTAAAAAGACAAAATTCTGCAACTTTTACTTTTAGCCCTTCTGCTATGCACGCTAAGCCAAATTTCTCACAAATATTAAATTTAAATACAAAATAAATCATTGAATGGCCAGTACATTTCCGCCAATTTTGATACCAAATTTGCCAATATTTTGCTCAGGTAAGTACATTGTAATTTTCAAGAAACCAAGTGCACATTTTCTTTTGGACACTGAGTCAATGTTTAAAATATCGAAATTGAGGTTAGAGTCATTTTAAATCCCATAACTGAATTTCTCCTCTTCGCGGGTCAACATATTTTATATGATGTTATACAAAATCTTAATTACTCTTGTTTTTAATTTTCTCACAAAACCTACTGTCTACAGAGATTATTTTAGCTGAAATCAAAAATGACAAAACAAAAAACATGCGTAGATAATATCGGCATTTTCTCATAAAATACTAAATCAAGCCACTTTGAAATTACGCATCTCGCTTTTTTCGTTGCTTTTTTTCTCGGCAAATATATGTGTCGATTATAACGATTCAAAAGTTAAAATGATTAAAACTATTTGTACCATTATTCATTGAAGAGCACGATAGGTAAACCAAAAGTTACGTTAAAATGTTGATTTTTATCAGTTTTAGTTATGAATATACGGTAAGCATGCACTTACTGCGCCGAGCATGTGGCATGAGTCCCAGATTCACAATATTTATAAGGGTTTATGTTTGACACCTATTATCAGAAAATACATTTCTAATGCAGTACAGATTAGTCATTTTAAGTTTGTTAGAATATCCATCAAAATGGTTTGCATACGTTTATAGTTTCTGCTTTAATCAGATAATAAGAAATTACTTTCTCGGTGCTTGTTACATAAGTATAAATCTTTTAATGTAGCAGGTGCCCCTCTTCGGTTTTATATGATATTTTTCCTCAAACCCAAATGGACTACTTGACATCTTGTACTTGAAAATAAAATCATGTCTACAAACGTTAAGTATTGTCAAATGAAAATAAAATAGCACATCTTCTGAAGCAATTTACCATACACGCGTTTAACCATTTAAAACATTGACCTACGTTTGTTACTTCATTGCAGTTATCATTTAAGCAAGAACTATTTAATAATAATGTGTGGGAAAACAAAATTGGTCGTTTTGGTAATAGTTCAAATCGCAATGACCCGAATATGTTCTGCCGAGGGGGAAAACTTGACATATATAGCTCAGGTATTAGACAAGGTGGTTCGACTAGAGGTGAAGGTTAAGGAGTTAGAGAAGGATATGAAGAAAACAAATGCTGATACTAAAGATGTCTTGGAAAATGTGAACAATGTGTTGGATAACAAAACAGCAGAGCTTGAGCTCTTACAAGGTATTTTACATATAATTTTATCTGAATAAGGCCATCCAACGACAGGCTTTATTTGATATTTAGAATAGTTTATGTCTGGATTGTAACTAGATTTTTAATTACAAGGAAAATATAGAAATAATAAGAATGAGGAGAACAATGTGTACTGTTTGAGCAAATTCACGTTTTCACTCATTATTAAATTAATAATAGTTAATAATAATAATTATCACCTAAGAATAGATATAAGTTTAAGTTGCCTCAACTTTTATGTAAAAACAAACCGGAATTTCTGTTTTAGGCAGTGGTACTTTTACATGAGCTATATATAGATTTCATTTATTATTACAGATAGAGATTATACACCAATCATTGCGTTTAATGCATACAGTCCAGTTGATAAGAGTTTAGATACCAGTCAGATCCTGATACTTCAAACGGTCCGGCTGAAAATGAAGGGTAACGATATGATAACGTCTGGGCGTGTTCACTGCTCCTGTAAAAACCGGGCTCTATTTCCTTTTGTAGCACATATGTGCAACTACGCAGGACGAGGTATTCACTATGATATTATGCTTGAACACAACACAATAGCTAAAAGTACACAATTCAACAACGTACAATATGACTGTAGCTCAACAAGCGCCGTCACAATGGTCACAAAAGGTCAAAGGACATATGTCAAGTGTACAAGTGGAAACACCAGTCCGCAATTATATGACGATACACACAGACAAACGTCGTTTTCCGGATTCCTTTTGCAAAGGAAATTTTCCTGAAATGAACTTTGGGAAGACATTCGTAGAAATTTAGAAGTAGATCTACATATTTTTTTCGATTACTTTTATACATTATACATAAAAGATACAACGTTCTTTCTTTCCTCAGACAATGTTAATATTTGTGTATGAACATGGTGTGCTTTTGAATACTTCATTATTGCTCTTGTTGTCGTGGTTATTCATGTATTTCTGTAATTTCATAAATGTTCATATTTTCAGTTCATAAGACTATGACTGTAAATAATGTAAGAAATAAAGACAACACATTCTACTAGTTTCTACTTTAGTACGTCTTCATGAGAAATTAAAATCTACCACATACAAAAATGACGTAACGTCCGTTCAGGTGGTAACGTCTACTATTTACCTTACGTAAATATAAATCAAAATGATACTATATATAGGTTTTAGATTTTTTTATTACATTCTCATTTTTGATTATGTGATGATCATGAAATATTTTGGTATCAAAATAAAGTTTAATATCATCAAACGAGAAGTGTGTACGTAATGTCTTGTATCAAAGAAAGAAGCGATAATATCCAGAGATACTATCATTCGGAACACCTTGCCCACAATTAATAATATTTCAAGAGGCAGGGAAAATTATCGAACATTGGCCCCGGTGATACTTAAAAATAATTCATACACGTGATTTAAGGGTATTGAAATACTTTGATATGGCTTTTATTATGTTATCATTTGTTGTTTGTGGTTAGGAAAATGAGCTGTAGATCTATTTCTCTGCGGTGCTTTTCCTCTGGGATATTTAATTGTTGGTAGCTTTGTTCCTGTTTAGAACTCTCAAAAAGGAGGGCTGAACATTGAAAAAAGAGCATTGGCAACTGCCTTTGAATACATTTTTTTAAATATCTAAGTAATAGAAAGAGCATCGAAACACGAGGCTATCTAATTTGCCAGATTGACAAGTTTTTTGATGTTCTTTCTCTTTTGTATCATAGTCAAACATAAAAACACATTCCCTGATACCACAATATGAAACCCCACAAAAAGTAACCAATGAACGAGCATCTAAATGTGATATTTCCATCGCTATCCCTTTCTCTGTCGTCCCAGTATGTAAACCCCGGACAAAATGAACCAATCAATGGATGGGCAACTAATACCTGCACTCCAGTTAACGCACTGTGCATGTATATGTATACGATTTAACTCTGTCACATTTTCAACAGAAAGGTCCCCAAATTATGATATAATGTTTTATAAAACTTTTTTAGGGGCATTTTTATAGCAAGATTACACCGTACATTAAAAAAAAAAATTTTGGAAACGCGGACTTCAAATGTTTTAGAAAAATTTTCCCATATACCTCAAGCAAATAAAATGCTATCAATTTTTATTAAAAAGCAT